CCATTTGATGCAGTAAAACAATCTAATATGAACTTATCTAATTTTCGTATCAAAGATCAAATTTCTTTCCTATTATAAAACTACGATAAGACTGGTGAAAAAATGGAATGAATACATTATTGACTCAAAATGATACATCAATAAACTTTATCTCAAGGATGCTGCTCACAACAAAGTTATACAGGAGAATTGACTTCAAGCTTTATTTTTCCCAGATATTTGTATCACACTCATCTGAAGTCTGGGTTTTTTGTTAATGCGAAGACAATATTTCTATATCTCTTTGTGTGTTACACAGACAGACTATTTTGCAGACTGTTCTGACTGACTCTAATGTTAGATTGAACAAACAAACTGTAATTTATATAATAACTTATCCATGCCTGTACAATTGGTATGTTCCTGCATAAACAGGAATAAATATAAATATAAGCCCTCCAGTGACAGTAAGGGAAAGACTGCCACGAAGAAGAGGCGTACCAAGGGTCGAAAAACTACAGCTCAAGTCACCCAGGGAGTGGTAGATCAAGCCTTATCCTCACTGATGAATAGCAGGCAGGTAAAACTTACTAGGATTAGCAAGAAATACACCAGTGAATGGCGTAAAAAGCAAGGCAAGGACAACGCATAGGCTACACTGCCCACGAAGGACAAAAAGACATTTACGCCACAGAGCAAGAAAGCCACGGCAAGCAAACCTGATCTCTCCGACAGGTCGCTCATTCTCCACAAAGTGGAAGAGTCACTGGTCTACGATCCCAAGGCCAGATTCGAGCATGAACTTAGCTTGTTCAAGCCCCTTTTAGATAAGATACTGCCAAAAACAGTACCAGGCATAACAATACACAGCGTATTTAGAATCGGCCAAAAGCCTGACCCTGGAGTAAATCCAGTCTGTACGTCTCCTCAAAGTCGTACTAAACTCCCAAGAAGAGAGGGACGCCATTCTAAGCAACTCTCAAATTCGTTAAGGATCAGGCATATATGTCCATGCCGACTTAGGCCTAGCAGACCGTGTCAAAAGACAGTCTGCCGCCCTAGAATTAAGCGAACGACGTCGAAACGGTGTTAAGAACCTTAAGATTAAGGGTTTTCAGGTTGTCCGAGTTCACAGTTTAATCATCCCGAAACCTCTGTGGGTAGGCCGGGGAAGCACCAAACTGAATCGACAGTTTGCTACAAAAACGCCAGCAGCCTGTTGAACATCCGGAAACCCGGATGTAATTATCATCACAGAGACATGGCTCATACCCGATGTCACTGACAACGAAGTTAACTTGCCAAAATTCGAAGTGATAGGGTGGACCGACTAAACCACAAAAGAGGTGGCGTGGTCACCTACCTCAAGAAATGCTTAACTGGTTGTAGCATAGAAGCACTCGCTCACGAAGGTGGGTCGTGCCAACTTCTACGCTGCAGACTTAAATGTATAGGCTAAGACATTGACCTCATTGCTATGTACCGCAGTCCTGACTGCAGTGCAGACGGCTTCCTAATAAAGAAACCAATCTCCTGGATTTCGAAATGTCGAAGTCCCGTAATCGGCGACTTCAAAGCCCCGACAGTTGACTGGAGAGCTTTACAGCTCCATCTTCAGTCAACTCCATTGATCATAAACTGCCGGAATCTAGTATATCGCCGGCCCTAGTCCAACATGTCATTAAGCTCACGCGCTATGACTCAGCACTCCTCTTCAACTCCGGACCTAGTATTCTCCCACGGTGAGGATGTGGATCTCCTACAACATCTTCCTCCCTTAGGAAGAAGTGATCATGCTATGCTCACTTTCAAGATCACAGCAACCGCAGCAAGGACCGAAATCCCAGCTCTACTAAACGTCTGGAAAGCTGATATAAATGCGATCGTCTCAGCAGCCAACTCACTGAACTGGTACATCAACCCAGAGTCTCAAATAGAAGCCGCATGGAACAAATTTAAACAACTTTACGCCCAAGTAACTGAGCCTTTCCTCCCTTAGTCGGCCCCAAAGGGTCGGAAACATTGTCCCCTTGGATAAACCGAGTGATTCGTAAGTTACTCATACGTAAGCACAAATGTTGGAACCTGTTTGTCAAACTTGAGACTCCTGAGGCCAGAAAATTATATAACAATGCTAGGGATAAAGCTATTGCGGAAATCCGCCAATCAAGGATGAAGTTCGAAGCACACATGGCTCAAAATGCAAAGGCACAACCTAAGAAAATTTTCTCGTACATGAACTTCAGGAATAAAACTTCCAATGGTGTCCCAAAGCTGACTATTGACAGTGATACAGTCGAAGAAGACCAAGAAAAAGCAGAAGCAATGGCAAACTACTTCTCCAGAGTCTTCACTCAGGAGTCGTCACTGCCGATATGATCAGCTCTGGCTGCATCAGAGGAATACGGGATAGATTCCGTTGACATCGACCAACGTATTGTGCTCAACTGCCTAATGAAACTAGATGCAGGGAAATCAACGGGTCCTGATAATCTTCATCCAAGGCTTCTCAAGGAGCTGTAAGCTCATATAGCCGGCCCTTTGACCACTATCTTCAAGCTATCTCTCCTACATGGAGTGTTACCGCGTAACTCCTATCCACAAAGGAGGATCAAGACAAAGCCCTTCAAATTACAGGCCTATCAGATTCACCAGCACTTTAACACAGACACTGGAAAGAATCATCAAGAAAAGCATCATGGCATATCTGGAAAACAGCAGCTTGTTATCCAGAGCACAGCACGGCTTCCGAAGAAACCTCTCATGCCTGTCTAATCTCCTCACTGCAAGAGAAAGCTGGGTCAAATCAAGGGACAACAGAAGACCCGTTGACGTCGTCTTCATAGACTCCAGCAAAGCCTTAGATAAATTACCTCACAAAAGACTACTCATGAAGCTGGAAAGTCTTGGTATCAAAGGTAGGTTGCTAAACTGGCTCAGGGAATTCCCCATAGATAGGAGGCAGAGGGTTATGATCAACCCGAAACTCTCCTCTCGGACAACAGTACGTAGCGGAGTGCCACAAAGTACGGTAATCGGACCTCTCCTATTTATTTTGTATATCAATGAGTTATCTCTGCTAACCGACTCCCCTATGGTCCTATACGCAGATGACTTTAAAATTTGGAGAGAGCTGAAGGGCAACAGTGAGACGCTTACGCTGCAAAAGGACCCCAACAAATTGTCAGAGTGGTCCATAGAATGGATGCTCCCGATAAATGTGGCAAAATGTGCAGCCATGCACATTGGACAAGCAAGCACTAGCTCCTACTAACTAGAGGTAATAATACTTCCATCATTTCAGACTCACTTGGACTTAGGTGTCATAGTTAGCCACGACTTAAAAACTACAGCACACTGTCGCGCGGTGGCTGCATGTAGTTTCAGGTCATTATGGGCAATTCACAGAGCCTTTACTAGAATCACCAGAGATATATTCACCTCCTTATACACATCTCTGGTGAGGTCAAGACTGGAAAACTGTATCCAGGCAGCCAGTCCTTGTCTAAAAAGGGAATCACACATTCTAGAAAGGAAGGCAACACGTATGGTTCTCAGAATGGGTAACTTAACATACGAGGCAGTTTAAATCTCTTCTCTCTGTCATACCAAAGGTAGAGAGGAGATTTAATCACAATGTTTAAAATTTTAAATAATGACTACGGAACTGATCTATTCTCTCTTTTCCCTCTCACCAGGTCGGAACACCTTAGAGGACATAGCAGGAGAGTTCAAGAGCCAGAAAGAAATCGTATTGCTGTTGAGTACTGGTTCTCACACCGAGTCATAAACTCTTGGAACCGACTCCCAGAAGAAGTGGTGTCTGCAACCCCAACTGATTCGTTCAAGAAGGGTTTGGTAAACCACAGAAATTTACTGGAAAAGGATTAACGTAGGCTCCCAGCCTTCTATCCTCAATCTGAATCTGAAAAGAATATTAGAGTAAGACGTCATGGCTTAGCTGGGAAAAGCAACTCTTTATCCAACGTACTGCGCGGTTTTCGCAAACATCACTCGTGTTTAACATATCTTCTCGAACCATATGAAAACTGGATCAGGTCGGAGGAAAAACAGAAACCCACTAATTTTGTCCCTGTCGGCTTCAGCAGGGCATTTGTCAATGTCATGGAACTGGAAAGTTTTGGATTGAAGAGTTCATTGTCGTTGAAAGATACGGAATAAGGATCGCATCGAAACTCTCGTTCTGGACAATAGAGCTGAGCTATATGCAGCAAGATATGACTCTTTGGCCCCATCCGTTGACTCTGTATATCAGCCATCTGCATTACTATCTGCAGATGACCTTAGATTCTGGACAGAACTGAATTATGACAGCGACATGTCTACGGTACCAAGAGATCTCAACACTCAGTAAGCTTGGCCTGAAGAATGAATGCTCTTCACTGACATGGCCAAATGTACAACCGTGCACTCAGAGCACGTGTACAGTGGAGAGAGAATGCTTCTAGCAATGTAGACATACTACTCAAGGCTCGATAAGAGGTCATGAATTATAAGCTAAGGCATCATGTCTCTCATTTTCAGTTAGCGACTTTAGAACTGTGCACAAGGCCTATATTAGAATCGCTAGCACTATGCTCGCCAATTAATATACATCTGTGGTGATGTCAGAATGAGAAAAATGAAGCAGGGTATCAGCTCCTATCTGGAATGGATCTCATTAATATAAGAAAGGGTTCAATGACGTCCATACGTATGATTCATGGTATGATAGAATTTTCATACTAGGAACTACATAACAGACCAAATCCTTTATCTTTATCACACAACAGGCTTTCCACAGCTTGACGCTACTCATTTAAGGAGAAAGCACACCAGCGGAGTCAATTTATAGAACAGTATTATCACAGTCTCGACGCTTTCTATCATCAGTCAAAATTAGGGTTCTGGTGGGGTGGACCATATGATATCTTACTTATCTTGAGAAACTGGTCCTTTTATATGGCGAATAAACACATTTGGTGTGATATGTGAGATACTTTTCTCATAGATGTTTTCATGTATCACATTATACGACGACAACCAATAGAAAACGTGGGGAGTTTTTGAAAATTTTGAGCGGTGGATTGAATGTCCTCCCGGTGTTTATGTGCATATGTTTCTCTTATACTAATTTCTTGATACTTTGTGGCTTTTCTTATGGAATAAAATGTGATGTCAGATAGGGGTCTTGAACTTCGTATCTGGAAAAATAAATGTAAGTATCATACAGGTATATGCTTACTTTTTAGTATATAATTTGCAGCGCGAAGCTCCTACTCCACATGTTATCCCTTGTACTCAAGCTTTGAAGCACTGTCCACCTCAGTATGGCATTGAGTACCACGGCCCAATATCACGTCAACAAACAGAGGAATTACTTGCTAATGCTGAAGATGGATCATACCTCATTAGAGACAGTCAGCGTGCTGAAAATGCATACACGTTGGTTATTTGGTTCGATAAGGTCGCGAAAAACTTCAAACTTTTCTACGACCCTGTAAGCAAGCAACATTATGTTGGTGAGACCAAGTTCGACACAGTAGAACTGCTTGTCGCTGACGGTCTCATCCATTTTTATGTGGAAACGCGTGGTGCAGATGTTTTAAAAAAGATTGCGGAAGCTAACATTTATGAAAAAACACCATTTTACAAGGTGAGTACTTTTCCAAGGACTTTAGTCTTGAAAATTGGCGTTGGATAAGACAATCGAACCAAGCGTATTTATTACGTTGGATTAAAAAATTTTGCTCTGAGTGGTTACTTGCACAATTATTCAATAAAGTTGTAAATTGTTGACTCAATTATACCGCACACCAAATTACTAAGTTGCTTTGGAGAAGTTAACCGATATTTCTCCTAAATAAGAGTGTCGCTAAGTAATTTGACATGCAAGAATTAAATTTTAATTCAGGATGTACTACTGACTTTAATGCTTTTTCTGTATACACCACATTGTGATCTTATTCTTACTGATATTTCAAACAATATTTGAGTACAGTATGAAATTCTAGGCTTCAAGTAATGGTGTGTGGAATTTGCTGGTGGAACGGCGTCGACTTTGGGTTGATATAAAAAGTTACATTGCCAGACGTCTTAAATAAGTCACTTAGTTCATCTTTCTTTTATTTATTTATTTATTATCATTATTTTTTTGGTTACAGCTTGATTCCACACCGTATTTCTTGGTACAGGTATGGAATTTTCAGCATGTGATATCGGTAGCCCAAATTTTGCAGGCCGACCATAGATATCAGGTGTGCGTCGGCAGGGGATCGAACCCCGGACCATGTGCATGGTCGGCGAGAGTCCTAACCACTGTGTCACCGACGCACTAAGATGTGTGAAATGAAGCTATGTAGTTTTACATTAACTGACTTTTTGAGATGCAGTGCTATTACTACATGTTCTTGTAACAGATTGGTTACTAAAGTTATGGATATTTAAGCATGATTGGCTTGCTAACAAAAGGCACACGGCACAGGGAATTTTCACTTTAAGTCGAAAAACAATATATTGTATAAAAATAGACACCTTACACTCGAACACGTATGAAATACACTTGAGATCCATTAAGTCTGGAAGTTCTCTTCAAGATGCTTATTTGGATGCTTAGTTTTACAATTGTGTGTGTATGCCATATAACCTGTATTGGTTTGGATGTTAGTGTTAAGTAACTGGGTTTTTTTGTATGAGTAGTACCATGTATTATCGCTTGATTTATTAGAAGTACTCAAAAAGGTTTCTAACAAACTGTTTTAAAATATTTCACATTTATTTTACTGTTTGTGAATTTAAATAAAGCAAACAATGGTTTGAGTAGAATAAGATGTCCTTTTTTTTCGTTGGCTTCTTGTCACACACACACACACATGCAACCCAAACTATTTATATTACGTATATGTACAGAGAAATTGTTCATTAATGGCATACTCCAAAATTAATAAATTGTGCCTTGAAGTTGCACTTGTGCAATCTGTTCACAGAGGATTTTAGTTGATTTTTGAGATAAATTTTGATACTCGGAAGGATCCGGGCTAGAAAGATAAGATATAGATTAGCTGATAAATAATTAGTAATCTGCGTAACAATGTTTTGATTCCAACTCAATAGAAACAAGAACCATCAAGTACCAAAAGGGAATGTGTTAAAGCAAAAAATTCTGTATTCAATCAAGAAGGAGATTTAAGAAATTGGGATCCCCAGGTAAAGAGAGAGTGATAACTGCTTCTTCTTGAAAATTTAGGTTGGTTTTTAAACGTTTGATAGCAGTGACTTCGGTAAGTTTAAGAAGAATAAAATTGTATAGTCTACCAATTGTCTTAAAGGATTTGAAGACACCTATTTTATGACCTTTCTCAACGAGATACTTGGTAATAGCAGTGTTAAAATCGTTTGTTCGCTTGAAAGCTAGAGTGCTTGGCACTTGCTCGAAGAATCTTAGGTTTACTGTTTCTGTTCTCCCGCTGTAACTGCTACCGCAGGTACAAGTAGATTTGCATACATAATTAGAGTTAATTTTGAAAGGGTATCTGTTAACCTTCGGTTGCACCTGACATATCGTTTCTTAAAGGAGAACCAACTTGGCTGTAGGATAAACTGCGGCCAGTAAAGTATTTAATACGTTGTTGAATTGCATGAATATAAACTTCTTGTTCACTATGGCTTGTTTTGCATTCACATCTTTAGACCTTTAGCACTTGTTAATGAGTTTCTGTAGATAACCGTTATTTCTAAAGACTTAGCAATTATTCTTCCAATTTCTTAATGGAGCATATCATTGATACAACTTTTTGACCAATTTTCCCTCATAGCTGATAGGACAAAAACTATTGAAATTTAAGTATTACCCACTTCACTTAGACTCAGCCAATAGTTGTTTGGAGACTTACGTTTTGCAAGCACTGTATGCCTATGTCGATACTTTCATATGCATTGGTAAACTCTACGTTTTTGTATCACTGAATAATCCAAGTGAGTGGGATGACTGACCTTTATTGTTGCACACTAAAAATGTGTCATCAACATACTGAAAATAAGAAGCTATTTCGTCTACTGCACACCTAAGCTTTCTCATTTCATGGTTATACATAAAGATATCTAATACAGGACCCACTGGACTGCCAATATCTATATCAACTGCTTGGAGATAGTGTATTATTGAACAGGAACATAATGCATATTAGTAACAAGGGATAATTTTAGAATGCTAACAAATACTATCGAGGGATTCATGAATCGGGATCAGTGTAAACAGAGAAATTACATTAAATGACACCATGAACTTATCGGGAACTTAAATGTGACTCAAGCTTTCAACGGACTGTTTGAAATCAATCACTATTTATCCAGCCAGTCGTTAACTAATTGGTTCCAACTCTTCTGTGAGCCAGGGGCGAGTTAATCATGAAAAGTGTGGGTCTCCAGGATAAATGTTGTCTGTGTGTTTACTTTCGGCAAACCGATATCATATGCTGAAAATTCCATACTTGTACCAAAATACTGTGTGAAATCAAGCTATAATAAAATTTTTTTAAAGAATACAAAATATACGAAACCTTTGGGATTTTAAATCATTGTTTGTACTGCTGTCAGTCAGCTACTTTTCAGAGCACTGTTAACATACTTGTGATGCGTTTTTCAATAAAATTGGTTTTTTGTTGCAATTTTCCACTTTAAGTCTTAATATGCCCTTCAGAATGGATTTCATCTTTGAATTAACTAATGAATTTAAGCCTGATGTGGGCTATCTATTGGTATTAAAGCGTGTCAAATGGAAGCCATAGACTAACAATAAAATGGCATAAATTTTAATCTTCATAAATTCCTTTAAAACACCAGCCATTGTACTTCATTTAAGAAATTATGAATATCCGTGGTAATGGACTTTAGTTATCGTTTTTTTTCTTAACGTTCCCCACTGGAACATAGGGCTTCAAGCTAGTGGCTTGAAGTTTCTGTAGCAGTGTTTATTTTACAGGATGGGGTTGCTAGCCTCATGCTCAACCTTCCCTCTTCACCAGCATTATTTCTGGCTTAGCGAGGTGAAGGAGTGCGTCGGCAGGGGATCGAACCCCGGACCATGTGCATGGTCGGCGAGCGTCCTAACCGCTATGCCACCGACGCGGTTATCGTTATGCATGATTAATGTAAGTGGTGACAATGCGTTGTTTCATTGTTACAAGTGATGTATGTTGTTTACTTCCTACATTATACCGCCACTTAATTTCAATCCTCCTATCCACTGTTGTCCTTTGTTTTAGCCTTCTTACGTCTTTCGCAGTGCTCAAAATCTTAAGTACTGTTTTTTACTGTATGGTGCTTGATATGAGGTATGAATGGCTGATAATGCATTATAGAGGTGAAGGTAAATACATCTCATTTCGGTCCAGGTGATTGTGTCTGCATTCGGTGGTTCGGTGACTAAATTCTATTCGGATCACTAAGACTTAGATCACATTTTCCCCAGAAGTTAAACTTTCGTAATATTTTGTTCTATCTAAAATCACTAAAACTGAGTCTATTATAAATAGCTACTCACATAGATTTTGAGACAAAGTTTTGCTTCTCTGAGTGGTAAATCTTTTTCGTAGATATAAAACAATTTTTTTTCGAATATACCTATGAAAAAGTAATAGCTTTGTGTCTTTTTAATTTTCCCCATAGGTCCGTTATCACACTTTCAATGCGCAAGCAGTGGAAGCATGTCTTAATCTAAAGTCCTCTGAAAACAAATTGATGACTAAAGAACGTCCTCTACCCTCTCCCTTAAAACATCTCCATGCTTCTCAGCGCTATGCAAATAATTCAAAACAACCATTGGCAACTCGTCGGCAGTCAATGGATGCAAGTCATCTTGATGGGCATGTTAAATCTCAATCCATTGTCTGTACAAAACCCCTTATTCGTGATTGGCCTGATGATAAACATGAAGTTAAAGATTATCGTAATTATCCACCATTAGCGACTATTCAACAGTCCGTGTGCAATTCACCACAGCAACAAACTATTGTTACAGCTATCCCTCCTTCTACCATTGAAGTAGGATTTTCTCATTTAAGATTAGGGCCACCTCCTGTAGGTAAACACTCTATTGTAAGCTCTTCACAGTCTTCCTCTGATGTTGCATCTTTCACAACACAAACTGTTTCACATAATACAAACTTATACACCAATTTTCCTGCTTCAGGATCAATATTTTCTGGTCCAAATTCATCATCTATTATATCCTCTGATCTGCGACCAATTAATCAACCAGTAAGTAGATATTTTATTAATCTTATTACTATTTCTTATTGGATAATATGCATATCTAATAGTGAAGTTAATAAGTGAACTAAAACACTTATTGATACTGACGATACATTATAACATATATTTTGAATATTTACCACGTATAAGCATAACAACTGTAGGATCTTTTGTGTAGCTGATACGAAGTTGTGTGTTTCATCTATTAACCCTGACATTGGAATATTCATTTGCAAAAGTCTAAGTCAATTTTTATTAGATTTTTATTGGATTCCATCCCAGTGGCTGAATGGTCAACGAGTTTGTCTTGTAACCTGAAGGTTCTGTACAGTACTTCCTAGTCTTCAGTGGTTCTTCAACTGATATCACTCGATGAGTCAAACTTGAAAGTAATCAAATTCTTACAAAAAAAAAACATTTGAGAATTTTTATTTTCAAGCTGGACCACGGATTGATATCAGTTAGAGAGAACCTTCAAAAACCAGTAGTAGAGTGACGACTGGACAGCTGTTTTGTCCTAGTTTGGGACTCATCGGCAGTACCCACCCCAGTGACTGACTGACTACGGATCCAACTCAGAACCTTCCAGTCACGACACAAGCTTGTAGACCATTCATACACTAGGACCCGATTCAATGATCAGTCCATGAAACCTAACTTACATCAATTCGTGATTTTAGCGCGACTGGCACCAGCTAATGTTATCGACGAGTGTTTGTCCTCACTGAGGACCGAGTGGACTGCACTGGTGACGACTTCTGACTAGAACTCGAGGCAACTTCGTCGTGTAGCCAGTCAGTCACTACTAGGGAGCATCAGATTAATTTTCAATGGTTCTTTAACTGATATCAATCCGTGATCAAACTTGAAACGAATCAAACTCTTGACAATTTTTATTTTGTCTACACAATTCACAACCATTGAAATTATTAACGATACAATTTTATCATTTTTACATTTTCCTTAGATTTCGAATTTTTCTCCAATAACACCACTGAACAATGCAGTGGCTTTTAAAACTGTTCCCTCAAGTGATCAATCTCTTCCAATCGGTTCAACTTTACTTCAAGCACCTCTTGCTACTTATTGCTCTGGTGATACAAGTAGTATAGGTTCATGTACAAATAGTAACTCTAGTAGTAGTCAATCAGGTCTACTACCTGGTGTTCAATCGTATGATCTGGAATCTGAATTTTCCTCAGAATCACCTGCTCCAAGACATACATCATCAGGAAGTAATCTGTATGATCAATATTTTTCAAATGGAACTTCTAAATTGAATGGAAGTGCATCAAGTTCAATTAAACAACAAAGTGATACATCCTATACTACAGATTCTGATAATGCACAAAATGATGCTATGCGTAATTTACAAGAACGTTATAATTTACCGATTGCTTGTCTACCTGATCCATGTACATTCATTTCTAATGTGAAACCACATAATTTTAGAATTCATACATATCGTGGACCACATTGGTGTGATTATTGTACTCATTTTATTTGGGGATTAGTTGCTCAAGGCATGAAATGTATAGATTGTGGATTTCAGGTAGCATAATATTTTTATCATTTCATTTTGATTATATTATTTTTTGGCTTTAGTACACGATTTTCAGGTAATGGGTCTTGAGTTCAAATCTCAGTCCACCTTCTTTTACCTTGGGTAACTGGGTACTATCGTTAACTCCCCTTACGTTTCGACTGGAACACAAGGCTTCAAGCCTCATGGCCAACCTTTACTCTTTTCCCGGACCTATTATCGACTAAATGGGGTTAGGAAGTGCGTAGGCTGGTGATCAAACCGTAGACCGCTTAAGGCATGGTTAGCAAGTATTCTACTAGTGGATGACCGACATACTATCATTACCCTGACATAATAAGTATGGCTCATAGCCCGTTACAGGGTAATTGGGTTCTGACTAACTCATCATAATATTTTTTGGCTGTTGTTTAGTATTAACTTGTTTGGTATCCCTGAAATGAGAGCGGTTTTAAGTTAGTTACTAGAAAACTAGGAAATTATGTTTGATTACAGCTTGATTCCACACCGTATTTTTCGGTACAAGTATGGAATTTTCAGCATGCGATATTGGTAGCCCAAATTTTGCAGGCCGACCATAGATACCAGGTGTTCGTCGGCAGGGGATCGAACCCCAGACCATGTGCATAGTCGGCAAGAGTCCTAACCGCTGTGCCGCCGATGCACAGGATGTAAGACATTTAACTCAATTCATTTCATTCATTCCCAATCAGATGTTGATATATATTTTTGCAGCATGGATTTATTCAAGGAGTATGTACTCCTACCTTTCCTGGGAAATTAGGTAGATAATGTTTTACTAAGAGAAAAATACTAATTTATACATATTCTCCAGTTTGAGAAGGTGTGCACATATTGATATCCTTGAAATCGATAAAACTAATAATCAAAGACAAAACAAAAAGGATCAAGTAAAGAATAGTCTTTCCGATAACTTCTTCATCAGGTTCTACAGTTATATGTACATAATAGTATTAACACCATTAGTGTTTTTAAAGTAATATGAAATTGTTACGATCAATAGGTCATACTTGAAGTGCATTTATGATTGATAATATGCATTAATCTAATAAAATTAAGGAAGTGTATGTGATAATTAAAGATAGTTAAAACAATAATAACTTGTAAAAAGGTTTATAGAGAAGATGAAATAGTCAGATTTCTTCAGTTAAGGAAGGCGTTTGTACGAAGTTCATCTGATGAACACAAGTTTGGCTTCTTCAGGTAGATTCCGATAGCTCCAGCTTTATGGTAGAAGTCGAACTTGTAAGGACATACATGCATGTCTGAGTTGCTTAACTCCTTAAAATCTGTTTTACATAGATACCTTTCATCTCCTCTCTTGTATATTTTTTATTATTCCTTTACGTGGAACATGCGGCTTCAAACTAGAGGCTTGAAGTTTCTGTAGCAGTGGTAATTATTTTTACGGGATGGAGTTGCTAGCCTCACGCCCAACCCTCCCTCTTTACTAGTCTTACTACTGGCTTCGCGAGCTAAAGGAGTGCATCGGCCGGAGATCGAATCCGGGACCACCTGCTGTGCAACCGACGCACACTCTCTTGTATGCTAGTTTTAACTATAGATTTCCATATATGGTTTTTGAATAATTGCAATTAAAATGATTAATTATTTACTTAATGCATTTCTATGTATATCGCTATTCTGTGTTTTCTTTTTTCTTCACAAGGCTCACAAACGATGTGCCGATCTTGTACCGTGTGATTGTGTACCTGATATTAAGCAAATGAAACGAGTCTTTGGTGTTGATTTGACTAATTTAGCAAGAGCTGAAAATAAGTAAGTCTTTGTTATATGTAGTTTTTTGGAAGTAAAGTGGACGACTTGTCTATTGTTTTGCATTCTTTTACGTCCTGAGTGGAACATAAGTCTTCAAGCTTGAGGACTGAAGTTTTAGTAACGGTGGTGTTTTTTTCCTGCGAATTGGGATCGCTAGCCACACGCCTAACCTTCCCTCTTTACTTGGCTTACTAGCAGCTAAGCAAAGTTTAGGAGTGAGTCGACGGGGAATCGAACCCCTGGGCCACTAGCGTGGTTAGCAAGTATTCTACCATTGAATGAACGAATCACCACAGCAGTTGGTAAGAGGTGGGTTGTGTGTTAACTGATACTTGTCAGCAAGACGTGTCAAGTGGACTAATGTCACCATTGGGATTCCAACCCGAGTCACCAAGGTCTTCGGTCCCCACATACTATATAAATAGTGCTGTGTACTTTGTTATTTTTTGTAATAAAGTGATAGATTGTTTGTATTATCTATAGTTTACATAAGTTTTGAATGTCATGCACTGAATTAAAAGGTTTAATTGTAATCCAGTGAACCGTAGTTTGCGGGTGGACAAATCACATATGGGATAGAGGGACCGCATTTCACTACAAGTGTATAGCATTCTTTGTTTGAATTCTGTTACCCGTAACCGACTTCTCATGAACTAATCTACTAGTCATAATTATTGTGTGTGTGGTGGGGGGGCTGGTAACGACACTATCACCCATTTGCCTAGGCTGAAGGAATTGGAGCAGGACTCTGACTCTGTGACCTGCTGATTGCAAAACGGCCTCTGAAGTCAATGAGCCACACATAGTATTGCAAAATCAAATCCTAATATTTGTATGTTCTCGTACAGCGTGTGTGGTTGATGCTCTTAGTGCTTCTAAATTCTATCAACTAAGAATAGGTTATAAGTTATTTAAAATAATCCCAGCGTGTTACAGAAAAAATCAACATACGATTTTCTTAAACACTCAGATTAATTGGTGGGTGGAATCCAGTATGCGCATTTCACCCTGCTTGAGACTCGTCACCTGGATGCACTTGCATTGCGCAGTAAGTGATGATGTTCCCACCGAGGCTCGAACCCAGTGCTCATAGTTTCAAGTGCCAGAGCGTTATCCACTAGACCACTTGGGCCACGAGAGCCAGTCACTATCCGCCAATTAACTTTGAGTTACATGCCCAGACATCGTCGAAACATCTGCACAAGAAGCCGACATGTCAACCTGAAACCGAGCACTTCAGTCCAATCAATCGACGGGAGAATCTAAAATTGAATTAAATACTCTGGGATTATTTTAAATAATTTATAATGATTCACTTTGACTCAGTGGTCAAATTATTCCAGGGAATTCGTAACATCTACAGTCAGGATACTTTATAGGAATAGGTTACCTAGATAAACTATAGGGATTTTTTTCCCCATTTTGTTGCCTTAAGGTTATATTCGGTTTTTTATTGTTGCCAAAGAGGGAAATGAATAATAATCTCAATTATAGACGTTTATTAGCAAAACAATCTTTTGTTAGATATTTCTAAAGTAGCCAAATCAAAAAGGCTGTTGACTTATATAATTTCCCAATATTAGGGATAAATATTCTCCTAGACAGTCACAGCAATGGGGAATTGAAAAAATCTCTCTAGAAAGCTGTTTCTATCATGTCAGATGAATAGTGAAATCAAATTAGGTTCAAAGATTGGTTGCTACGTGTTAACTGCTGGTTTAAACTATGCAAATGTAAATGACTGGAAATCGTTTTCAATAGCTCAGCTGCATTCATTCTTTATGATCTTCAAGATCCAGCAGTAGATTCTCATTAGCTTTCATGTACTTATTCTTTCTTTCTTAGATTACCGTTGATTGTACTCCCTAGCATTTTGTTTCCCATCTTCATTTGTGTGCTTATGGGGTGTGGCAATTTGAATTGTTGCAGTTTTGTGCAAAGTTCTACGTTGAAAACTAACTCAGACAATCAGTATTATTACTCATTACTTTTAGTTAAACTATTGTAATTTGCACCATCTAGGTATCCTGTATGGGTTAGGTAGCTAGAAGTCTTCAAGTTAGGCTTCGATGATCTGGAAATTCATCTTCTATTGAAAGCAAAGATTGTTAGTCAATTGAAGTTAGTGAAGAATTGACGTGAAATATGTCGAGTCTCTCTTTACAAACTTAAACTCTCATAATCAAATCGTCATACTATTCATTGTTTTAACTTTTTTTTAAAAATCTACTTTATCAAGTTTGATCACAAATTGATATCAGTCAGAGAACCATTAAAAACCAGAGAGTAACGAACAACTGCTTCGTCCTAGTTTGAGACTCTTCACAGTACGCACCCATGACCCCGTCACCAAGAGTGATCGAATCTAGGATCGTCAAGTTATGAGGCGAGTTCATTGACAATTCATCCACTGGGATGGAACCCAACAGCCCAGGAATTCTAACTTCTGTCTACCAAGTCGCTTGTGAGGACAAATACTCGTTGATTATATTGTCTGGCGATGGCACTGTATACCACAAAGTGGCAGAAGTCCGAATTCGTGGGTCTATGAGGTCGCTTTGACCCCATTGGTGTCATGTGTGCGTATTTCCGAAGTGTTTCAAACCAGAATGAAACAACTCACCAGTGCACACAGTTTTTTGCTGTGGTTCTCTGACTGATAGATATCTATCCGTTTTCAGACTGGAAATCAGTCAATTCCGTATAAACTAAGACTTGGAAATCTACTTTTTGTTATTGCGTGATTGTTAAATACCCTTTAGTTGTACATTTTATATCATTTAAACCTTGGATGCGTCGGCGGTTGGTTCAGTGGTAAAATGCTCTCCAGTCAGCGACTTCAAGAGGTTCTAGTTCGACTCCTGGTTGACTCACTCTTAAACCTCACCTAACTACTCTTCTATTAGTCTATAGTAAGCCTAGAAAAGAGCAAAAGTAGAACGTGCAAGACTGTCAACTCCTCCCCCTCCCCTCGCCCCTCCATAAAAAATAACACCAACTCTAGTGAAACTTTCAACTGCCTGAATACCTATGTTCCATTTGCGAAACACGTAAGCTTCAAAAAAAGTGGCGAAATTCGTGTCATACTCGAATGTTGTGTTTTTTAAGGTATTATTTTCGGAGGAGGAGGATGTCAAGATCAAACGTGAAATAATATTTTGGGTATATAATATTTATAATGAAGTGATAATTTTGTTACATAGATTTTTTTCCAAATTTATTGACTGTATTTTTTTCTTCATTTAGTTCTGATTTACAATTGTCAGTTATTTTTTGTGTGTTTTGCTATACATAAATATACCGTTTATATATATAAGAGAGAGAGACGGAGATAGAGTTATATCATACAGAACTATTGGGCTTTTTAGAGACAGAGAGAGTAGTAGTTGTACGCAGTAGACTTTTGGCAACTAGCCAATTCTCCTACTCATGTAAATATATATTCCCCTCTATATAAAATTAATTATTAACTGTCTCTTTTTCCCCCTTAGTAATGATAATATTATTATTATTATCATTACCACAATTTATCAGCCTTGTTATTCTTCGTTTTCAAAAGATGTATAGATATGTTCAATATATATATATATATATGTTTAGTCTGATGTCTAGCTTTGGGTCTGTCTTTACACTTTCAGTCATGTTTTTCAAAAAAATTTCTCTGTCTGCATTTGTGTGTATACCTTGTCTGTACATCTGTTTGTCTATTTGTTTGTTTGTTTGTGTGTGTGTGTGTCTATTTCTGTATGCACATCAATCATGGTCGTACAAACCTTTGGCGTTCGATATCTGTGAATGTGAGAGGAGGAGTAAAATTCCTGTTAATTAAAAAAAATAGGAGAAATAATTGAAATGATGTTTTATGCTTAGGTTGAATTTTGTGTTTCTAAGTCAGTCAATTATTCATATTGTTTTTAACAGAAATAGGAATTTTACTTTTACCTTTGCAAGTTCAAGAGTTAGATGTTTGTTGGGATTTGATTTGTTTCAAAGTTCGATCATGGTTTGATATCAGTTAGAGAATCATTAAAAACTGTCAGAGTGCACTGGAAAAGCTGTTTTGTCCTAGTTTTGGACTCACTGGTTATACGCACCTACCGACTGGGGTTCGAACCGTGGACCTTCTGGTTGTAAGTTAAGCTTGTAGACCGTTCAGTCACTGGGACCCGACTCAGTGACTAGCTCATGAATTCTAACTTATACCAATTCGTGATTTTAGCGAGACTGGCACCAGCCAATATCATCGGCGAGTATTTATCCTCACTCCCTACCGGATGGACCCCACTGGAGACGACTTCTGACTAGAACTTTAGGTAACTTCGTCGTGTAGCCCGTTAGTCACTAGTGATTGCACTGACCAAGGTACTCTACTCGAACTCATGCAACCAGGTGAGGGCTTACGGCGAGTTGTCATCTGAATTGGCGACGACTAGTGGTGTTCGTCAGGGATGGCCATTATCCCCATTTCTATTCAATGTCATTGTAGATGTATTAATGGACTTAACCTTAACTCACTTTAGAGACTCAGGGATTTACTTGCTACCAGGGAATAATCTCGTTGACTTAGAATATGCAGACAATATAGTCCTTCTAGGCGAGGACGCTGACAAAATGCAGAGTCTTCTGAACACCTTGAGCTGCAATCTACGAATGTTTGGCATGCGATTCGCTCCCGCCAAATGTAAGATGATGTTACAGGACTGGACTACACTGACTCCTAGTTTAGAAATAGGAAGTGAAGTGGTAGAGCACGTTGACCGCTTCACTTATTTGGGAAGTACCATCAGCCCCAACGGGTTGATCTCTGACGAAATCTCAGCACGGATACAGAGGGCTAGTTTCGCATATGCCAGTTTACGCCGTCTCTGGCGTAGACGTGATATCCGGCTATCGACCAAAGGGCGTGTGTACTGCTCAACAGTCCGCTCCGTCCTCCTTTATGGCTGTGAGACCTGGCCATTGAGAGTGGAAGACATGAAAAGACTAGCTGTCTTTGATCA